ACGATCTCAGCTCACTGCAACCTCCACCTCCCGGGTTCAAGTGATTCTCCTGCCTCAGCCTCCTGAGTAGCTGGGTTTACAGGCACGCGCCACCATGCCCGGCTAATTTAGTATTTTTAGTAGAGATGGGGTTTCTCCATGTTTATCAGGCTGATCTCAAACTCCTGACCTCAGGTGATCCTCTCACCTCAGCCTCCCAAAGTGCTGGGATTATAGGCGTGAGTCACCAGTTTGTTTTTGCTTTTGTTTTTTGTTTCGTTTTTCTGAGATGGAGTTTCGCTCTTGGTGCCCAGGCTGGGGTGCAATGGCGTGATTTCAGCTCACTGCAACCTCCGCCTCCCGGGTTCAAGTGATTCTCCTGCCTCAGGCTTCCAAGTAGCTGGGATGACAGGCGTCCACCACCACGCCCAGTTAATTTCTTTTTGCATTTTTAGTAGAGATGGGGTTTCACCATGTTGGTCAGGCTCCTCTCCAACGCCTGACCTCAGGTGATCCACCCGCCTTGGCCTCCCGAAGTGCTAGGACTACAGGCATCATGAGCCACTGCACCCGGCCCCTTTTTCTTCTTTTCTTTTTCAGTAAGGGTCACTACAAAGATCCCCCCTCTTAAAAAAAAAAAATTAGCACGTGTGTGGGGGTGGGTGAGCAAAAGCGTGTGAGTAGGGCAAACCCAGGGAAAACCCGGAACTGCAGGCCCTGGGGAGACACCAGGATTCACCCTTGCCCCCCCGACCCCCGCCCAGCTTTTCCTCCTGGAGGAGGTGCGAGAGCGAAAGTTCGACGGCTTTGCCCGAACCATCCAGAAGGCCTGGCGGCGCCACGTGGCTGTCCGGAAGTATGAGGAGATGCGGGAGGAAGGTGAGAGGCTTTGGGTACACAGCGCAGGGTGGGGGCGCAAGGACCTGGAGGAGCCGCGTCAGGAGCTCTGCCCTCCACCCTCTGTCCCCGCAGCTTCCAACATCCTGCTGAACAAGAAGGAGCGGAGGCGCAACAGCATCAACCGGAACTTCGTCGGGGACTACCTGGGGCTGGAGGAGCGGCCCGAGCTGCGTCAGTTCCTGGGCAAGAGGGAGCGGGTGGACTTCGCCGACTCGGTCACCAAGTACGACCGCCGCTTCAAGGTGAGGCACTAGTGGGTGGGCACGGCAAGACCCTGGCTACAGCCTGGCACCCTCACCTGGCCCAGATGCACCTGCCCACAGGCTTAGATCCCCCAGACTAGATCCATCTGTTCCATCACAAGTATACCCTCATCTGGCATAGACACACCTGCCCACAGGTATACACTCAAGTACGACAGACACAGCTGTCCACCAAACATGCACTTGTAGCCCAGACACACCTATCAGATACACCCCTGGCCAGATGCATCTCTCCACAATCACACAATCATTCACCTTGTCCAGAAACCCCAACCACGGGGCCACCCTTGCCTATCCTAGACACGCCCATCCATTAGGTACACTCTCCCTTCAACCTGGAAATTAGATATACCTTCACCTGGCCCAGATACACCTGTCCACAGGTACACTCTCGCCTGGCCCAGGGAGCCTAGCCCATAGGTACGTGCTGTCTACAGAGATACACCACCTGACCGGTGCACTCGTGCTTGGCATAGACAGCTGGGCACCTCCACCAACAGACACATCCTCTTCTGCCCCACACAGCCCTAAACCTAGGTGTACTCTAATCACCTAGCCTGGACTCTCTTGTCCAGAAGTACACCCAGACTTGGCCTGTTTACTCTCACCTGTACCTGGGCGGGCCAGGTACACACTCACTTCACCCACATCTCATGTTCCAGAGAGTCACCTAGCCCGGTAACTCACCCTACCCACCTTAGACAGGCCTCTGTGTGGCAGGTGCACACTGAGATAAGCTATATACCATCTTTACCTGGATGGATATTCTCATATGGCCTGGACACCCTCACCTACCTTGGACAAGTTTTATGTGGCAGACGCCTCCTCACATGATCTGTACAACCTCACATACCATACATACAGTGTTGGGTGTCTTCACCTGATCCACACACCTGCTTTGGACAGGTCTATGTGGCAGGTATGCCCTCTCAGGTGACCTGTATACCATCACCTGAAATGTTTTCACCAAGACAGGTATCCCCACTAGAACCAGAGAACTCTGAGCGCAGGCCAGCTCAACCGGCTTGCACATTCACCTGCCTTCCTGTACAAACTCATAAGAGTTCAGATACGCACCTGCTCACTTCCTCTCATGATCCAGATACTCCTATTTACCTGACCTGTACACCCTCACCTGAACCATAATACCTTCACCTGAGCTGGCTACAGTCACATGGCCCAAGCACTTTTCGCCTGGTCTAAGTGCTCTCATCTGGCCCAGGCACCCATGTCCAGCAGCTGCCTTACCTACCCAGCACCTGTTCACTGACCCAAACACCCTTTTCTAGCCAACCAACCAACCAACACATTCCCGCCTGACTTCCTTCTGTTTTTGTTGTTGTTTGGTTGGTTTTTTGTTTGTTTGAGACGCAGTTTTGCTCTTTTGTGTGTATGAGTCAGAATCTTGTTCTGTCACCCAGGCTGGAGTGCAGTGGCACAACCTCGGGTCACTGCAACTTCTGCCTCCCAGGCTCAAGCGATTCTCCTGCCTCAGCCTCCCAAGTAGCTGGGACTACAGGCACGTGCCACCACACCCGGCTAATTTTTTGTGTTTTTAGTAGAGATGGGGTTTCATGGTGTTAGCCAGGACGGTCACGATCTCCTGAACTCGTGATCCGCCCGCCTCAGCCTCCCAAAGTGCTTGGATTACTGGCGTGTGTCACCGCGCCCAATCTGTTTTATTTGTTTTTGAGATGGAGTCTTGCTCTGTCACCCAGGCTGAAGTGCAGTGGCGGGATCGCAGCTCATTGCAATCTCCACCTACTGGGTTCAAGCGATTCTCTTGCCTCAGCCTCCTGGGTAGCTGGGACTACAGGTGCCCGCCACCACACCCAGTTAATTTTTGTATTTTTAGTAGCAACAGGGTTTCACCATGTTGGTCAGCCTGGTTTCGAACTCCTGACCTCGTAATCCGCCCACCTTGGCCTCCCAAAGTGCTGGGATTATAGGCGTGAGCCACGGCGCCTGGTCCTCCTTCTGTTTCTTATATAACAACTCATGGCCAGGTGTGGTGGCGCACACCTGTAATCTCAAACCTTTGGGAGGCTAAGGAGGACAGTTTGCTTGAGCTCAGGAGTTCAAGACCAGCCTGGGCAACAGGGCAAAACCCTGATTCTACAAAAAATACCAAAATTAGCTGGGCATGGTGGTGTGCACCTGTGGTCCCAGCTACTCAGGAGGCTGAGGCTGGTGGATCACTCAAGCCCGGAAGGGGGAGGTTGCAGTGAGTTATGATGGCACCACTGCACTCCAGCCCAAGCTACAGAGTGAGACCCTGTCTACAAAACAAACAGACGACTCATACACCTTCACCTGGAGGGATCCCACCCTCCTCACCTGACCTGCCAGCACCACTCCTCTGCCTGGGGTGGGCCCTCTGTGGCCAGGCTGGCCAGGCTGCAGACACCGGCCTCTCATCCTGCATCCCCGCAGCCCATCAAGCGGGACTTGATCCTGACGCCCAAGTGTGTGTATGTGATTGGGCGAGAGAAGGTGAAGAAGGGACCCGAGAAAGGCCAAGTGCGTGAAGTCTTGAAGAAGAAGCTGGACATCCAGGCTCTGCGGGGAGTCTCCCTCAGGTGAAGCCAGGTTCCTACCTGCCACATAGTCGCTCGAACCTGTCCCCTGGCTGCCCTCATTCTAGTGACCCTGTCTGTTACCCTGACAATCTTACCTGGTGCCATGCCTGTAGCCCTCTCATGACCCCACCTGTCATGTTCACCTGCCCCCTACGCCCATGATTCTTAGGTGCCAAAAGCTTCTGTCCTGCACCTTACCCTCTTATTAGACCTCACCTGGCCCTCTTTTGTAACCACCTCTCCCACTCCTTGCCACATCCCTCTTTTTCTCCTACCTGGTCACCCCTGACTTGGCCCTTAACTGACCCTTCCCTAAATTCACCTTCAGCCACCTTCACCTGTCACTCTCACCTGTGGCCCTCACCTGTGCCCCACCTGACCCTCTCACCCGCCCCTCCCCAGCACGCGACAGGACGACTTCTTCGTCCTCCAAGAGGACGCCGTCGACAGCTTCCTGGAGAGCGTCTTCAAGACCGAGTTCGTCAGCCTTCTGTGCAAGCGCTTCGAGGAGGCGACTCGGAGGCCCCTGCCCCTCACCTTCAGCGACACGTACGGCCCCGCCAACCCCAGCACCATTTCGGGGTGGTCTCGGCGCGGAGCACCCTCTCCCGCTCCACCTACCTACCCGGCCGAACTGCGCCTCGGCCCCGGCCCCGGCCCCGCCCCTGCCCCGGAACAGCGAGGGTGGGATGGGGCGGGGGACCCCGGCCCGCGCCCCCAAGCTTTCTTCTCTCCCCACAGACTACAGTTCCGGGTGAAGAAGGAGGGCTGGGGCGGTGGCGGCACCCGCAGCGTCACCTTCTCCCGCGGCTCCGGCGACTTGCCGGTGCTCAAGGTTGGCGGTCGGACCCTCACCGTCAGCGTTGGCGATGGGCTGCCCAAGAGCTCCAGTGAGTCTGCGCGGCAGAGGAGGCGGGGCAAGAGAGCGGACCAATGAAGGCTTCAGAGACGGGGAGAGGGCGGGGCCAGCGAGGCTGGTTAAGAGTGGACAAAGGCCAGGAAGGGGAGGGTCAAGAGAGAGAGAGAAAGAGACTTTTTTGAGGTTTTTGAGGTTTTTTTTTTTTGAGATGGAGTCTCGCTCTGTCGCCCAGGCTGGAGTGCAGTGGCGCGATCTCGGCTCACTGCAAGCTCCGCTTCCCGGGTTCACGCCATTCTCCTGCCTCAGCCTCCCGAGTAGTTGGGACTACAAGTGCCCGCCACCACGCCCGGTTAGGTTTTTGTATTTTTTAGTAGAGACGGGGTTTCACCGTGTTCGCCAGGATGGTCTCGACCTCCTGACCTCGTGATCCGCCCGTCTCGGCCTCCCAAAGTGCTGGGATTACAGGCCTGAGCCACCGCGCGCGGCCCGGCCTGTTTTGTTTTTGTTTTTGTTTTTGAGGCGGAGTCTCATTCTGTTCTGTCGCCCAGGCTGGAGTGCAGTGGCACGATCTTGGCTCACCACAACCTCAGCCACCCGGGTTCAAGTGATTCTCTTGCCTCAGCCTCCCGAGTAGCCGGGATTACAAGCGCCTGCCACCGCGCCCAGCTAATTTTTGTGGTTTTAGTAGAGACGGGGTTTCACCATCTTGGCCAGGATGGTCTTGAACTCCTGACCTCATGATCCACCCGCCTCGGCTTCCCAAAGTGCTGGGATTACAGGCGTGAGCCACCGCTCCCGGCCAGAGAGAGAGGCATTTAAAGAAAGGCTGCAACCAATGAGTGGGCATGAAATGTGGAGGCGGGACGTGACCATGGAGGAAACCAATCAAAACAGTGGGGCGGAGCCGGCAGGATGGACCAGAGTGGGCAACAGCAAGGAAGGGGCGGGTCTAGAGAGAGAGAAAGGCTGTTAAGGGGAAGACATGACCAATGGGGGGGCGAGAAATGTAGAGGGGTGTGGCCAGATCGGCAACCCTGGAATCCGGTACCGATGAAGGAATGTCCTAAAGTGGGCGGGCCCAAAGAGCAAGGCCAGTGAGGTGTGGGGCACTTGGGGGCGAGGCCAATTAGTGGGCGGAGCCAATGTACCTGTACCTAAGGGGCGGTGCTAATGGGAGAGTCTGAGGGGGCGGGGTGCGGCATAACCTCAGAATGGACTAGACTTGTGGGCGGGGCAAAGAGCGTTGTCTATCACTCAAATCCCTGACACTCTTCTTTCAGAGCCTACGCGGAAGGGAATGGCCAAGGGAAGACCTCGGAGGTCGTCCCAGGCCCCTCCCCGGGGGGCCCCTACCCGGGCGGCCCCTGGGCCCCCGAGAGGTGAGGAGCTGCGTCTCTTGCTGTCTTCCCTTGTGTTTTGTGGGTCCCATGGCTTAAACTAGACCTTCAGCAAACGAAATCTAACAAATACAGTTTACCACTTACTTCTCTGTCCAGAACTCTCCATAGCTCCACGTCTCCCATAGAATAAAGGCTAAACTTAGTTTGGCATTCAGAGCCCTTCAAAACCCAAACCCAGCTAACCACTGACATCTTCTCTCCTTCTACCCTACACTCCTGCCCTGCAAACCACATCTGTTTGTTTGTTTGTTTGTTTTTTGAGATGGAGTCTCCCTCTGACGCCCAGGCTGAAGTGCAGTGGCACTATCTCGACTCACTGCAAGCTCCGCCTCCCGGGTTCGTGCCATTCTCCTGCCTCAGCCTCCCGAATAGCTGGGACTACAGGTGCCCGCCACCATGCCCAGCTAGTTTTTTGTATTTTTAGTAGAGACAGGGTTTCACCGTGTTAGCCAGGATGGTCTCGATCTCCTGACCTGGTGAGCCTCCCGCCTTGGCCTCCCAAAGTGCTGGGATTACAGGCATGAGCCACAGTGCCCAGCCTCTTTTTTGGTTTTTTGTTTGTTTGTTTGTTTTTTTGAGACGCAGTCCAACTCTTGTCTCCCAGGCTGGGGTGCAGTGGCAAAATCTCAGCTCACTGCAACCTCCGCCTCCTGGATTCAAGCGATTCTCCTGCCTCAGCCTCCTGAGTAGCTGAGTTACAGGCAACCACCACCACGCCCGGCTAATTTTTGTATCGTTTTAGCAGAGGCAGGGTTTCACCACGCTGGCCAGGCTTGTCTCGAACTCCTGACCTCAGGTGATCCACCCGTCTCGGCCTCCCATAGTGCTGGGATTAACAGGTGTGAGCCACAGTGCCTGGCCTCAAACTACATCTTAGTTTCCCAACTCACCAAATTTATTCTTACCTCCAGGCCTTTGGACCGTTTCTCTGCTACTCTCTCAAATTCCCATTCCATTTGTTGAGCTCTTATGTATCCACCAGGACTTACCCACAGAAGCCCTTCTACAGAGGAGAGGAGGAGGGAAACTTGCCCCTGCAAAGCTGTTTCTGGCCCAGCCAGGTGGCTCACACCTGTAATCCCAGCACTCTTGGAGGCCAAGGCAGGAGGATCACTTGAGTTCAAGATCAACCTGGGCAACATAGCCAGATCCCGTCTCTACTAAAAATTCTTTTCTTTTTTTTTTTTTTCAAGACAGAGCCTCGCTCTATCACCCAGTCTGGAGTGCAGTGGCACGATCTTGGCTCACTGCAACATCCACCTCCCGGGTTCAAGCAATTCTGCCTCAGCCTCCTGAGTAGCTGGGACGACAGGCATGTGCCACCATGCCCAGCCCTTTTTTTTT